TTCTAACTTTTTGCTCTTTGATAATAAATGATATCTTGATGCATTTTATCACCACTAATGTGATAATAATTATGCCTAATGTGTTATTTGTACTCCATAGGAAAGACCTTAATCTAAAATTGCCATGACAGTACTTAGTTTTAAATAGATCTTTATAGATACTTTCATCAGAATTTTTAAATCATATTGCAATTTACATTTCAAACCATTTTATTTTTAAAGGATTATTTTAGCATCTTAAGAGTTTGTGCATCTGTATGTGTGTGTTCGTGTGTGTGTGTGTGTGTGTGTGTGTGTGTGTGTATGTTTGTGTGTGTGTGTGTGTGTGTGTGTGTGTGTGGTCATATATGAGTTCAGGTGCCTTTTGAAGCCAATGGCATCAGATCCCCTTGAGATGGAGTGACAGGTCAGTTGTCTGCCCCCTGACATGTGTGCTGGGAAACAAACTTTGATCCTTTGCTGGAACAATAAGTGTTCTTAACCACTGCAAATCTCTCTAGCCTTTCAAATTTTGTTCTTAAAACTGATAAATAATACTGAAGCATATTAATAAAGCAAAACCCATGTATTTGAGTTTCTTTTCAGACTCTTCACTGAGACTAATTGAACACTAGAACATTTAATGCAGAAAAAAGGGACCCTTTCTAACATTTCATTATATCTCCACTTCAAATATCTTTACTTCTCCATTGATTAAAAGACTCTCATTTTGTCTCTTGAGATTTATTTTAGGTTTTTTACAATTTGTATAAGACAATCTCAGATATATTGGTGTAGGTATTGTGTAGAACATATGCAAGACACATTACACAAAAGTACACATTACACACTGTGTGGTCTCTGGAATATAGATAGTATGCATCAATAGAAACACCTTAAAAGGACACATGGTGTGTAATATGACCTCAAGTGAACAGTGAGAATAACCAGTCTCTCCAGTTTTTCCATGATGTTTAATTCATTATGTGATAATTTCATATGTTGATATAATGTATTTTGATCATATGTATCCACTACTACCAGTCTTCTACGTCTCCCAGTGACTCTTACCTTTTCTCCCAACTGCATGTCTTCCTTATTTCATTGTCATTAATAACTCTCTGAGTTCAATCAGAAGCACTTCCCATAGGAATATAAGTAGACACAGTTTTAATTGCTTCCTTCCTAGAAAGGAGATTGGGAGTTGCTGGTATTCCCATAAAAGAAATCTCTAGGGATGACCCAGTCTACACAGCTTTTCTTGTCCTTCATGCATTAGCTTCTTAAATAACAACGTGCTTGATGTCATGTTTCAGAAGTTTCCATCTATGCATTTGAATGGTATTCACTGTTATCTCTTTCAGGGCCACCTTGTAACTGATGATTTTCTGTCAGACTTCATGCATTGTTTAACAAACACTCAAAGGTAAATGATATATTGACAGAATTTTCATTGGTATGAAAGCATGTAGATCTGTCATCTTTTTCTTCATTTACAAGTAATAAATTTAGTGAAATATGCAGTAGTTTCATTTTTGATCTCTAAGTAAGGAAAGTGAGTGGCCCTTCTTTGAAAGAGGAAGGGTTTGTAGAGTTTAAGAAGTAGATTTATGTTATTTCTTTTTCCTCTGTTCTTCAGTGTGTCAGGCATCATGAAAATATTTAATAACTGTGTGAGAAAGGTCTGTGTAACCAGCATTCTGTGGTTGACTTGATGATCTCATACTAAATGTTGGAGTTATCGTTCTTTCTTTCAAAGAACTGATGACCTTATATATTGCATCATCATTATCAGTGAGACTTGAAATTTATGGAAAGTGAGCAATAACACCATGAGTAGTGTTAAAAGAGAAAGGGATAATAGAAATAGTTTCCTTAAAAACCTAATGGGTTCATGGTATGAATGCAAAACTTCTCTTTTAGGAAATTTAGGTATTCTCTTTACACAACATGTTTATGAACCTTGCAAGAACCAATACATACTGAATATCTGTGAATTTGTCTATCTCCTATTGATGCTACTATTATTGCAGAAAAAAGGCATAAAAATCCACAAGAGCCCACATACTAGAAAGTGGGTCTCGGCCCTCCTGAAAATGATGTGAAGAACTTTGATGGTTCCCCATGGTGGGCCTCACTGTCCTTAGGGAATAGGTGGGGCGTGGATTGTGGGGGTCTCTGGGGTCATAGGACTATGGGAGTATGAGGGAATGGGGTGATTGATATATAAAATAAGAGTGCTTCTAAATTTAAAAATGGAAAAATACAAAAGTAAGCAGATCTTTTTGAAATTTGAAAAATGCTGTATGATTCACTAAAAATGTAAACAGTTCCCTTGTAATCATATAAAATGACCATTACATTAAAAAGTGTGGAAACTATGAGTTTTTTTTGCAATATGAGGCTTAAAAATAACTTGAATTTTAGCCTGGGC